TGCTGCCACCTGGCCTGTACTGTCGGGGTTTCTTCCTTCCTTCTCACTGCTCCAAACTTCTTTCTTTCTCTGTCCTGGCCTCTGACATACCCTTCCCCTCTGTCCACCCCGTGAGGGAACTGGAGATCTCACAGAAAGTCATCTCTGTACTTATTGGGCAGTCAGTCACCCTCGATTCCTGCCCCCCTCAACCCCGTAGGCACCAAATCAGGACCCTAGGCTGGTCGATTCTACCTCTGAGACAGGTCTTACTGACTCTTGCTCTTTTTCCACGACACTCTTTTCTCACAGCTCCACGGCCTATATTTAGGTCACATGACTTTTTGCTTGGGCTACTGCTTTAGCTTCCTATTTAGACTCTCCTTCTACTCTTACCTCTGACCGTCGTCCAGACCGCAGCCAGAAGATGTATATGTGGCTGCATTATTCTGCTGAAAGCCTTTCAGTCGCATCTGTGCCACAACCCTGTAGCATAGGATATAAGGTCCCTGCAGTCCTTTTCTGATGTACCTGATTCTCTGGTCCAATAAACCAGCCGTCCTTGGAAGACAGAGAGGCCTGCGGCAATTCACCCAGCATTGGTTGCCCCAATACTTCTTCTCTCAAAAGGAGGCTATGTTGTTGGTAACTTCCATAGAGCTCTTGGGATATTATCAAAGATTGACTTTTCAAAATGAAAATTTAATGATGTTCAGAATGGCCACAAGTCCCCTCTGCACAAGTATAAGACCTAAGGAATTCACTGTAGTTACCCCACCCAGGCAATAGGCTCTTGGTATCTATCTCTTATGCTCAGGATTCTGATACCTATGCTCAGATTCCCTACTTTATAATGTGCTTACCTGTCTTTGGTACCTATCTTACCTGTCTTTACCTATCTTTTAAGGCCAAGTGGAAATACCATTTGCTCCACTAACCTTCCAGAACTCCTGCTCGATCACCGTAGAACATTGCTTATTCTGCTGTGCAATTCTTCCTGATTTAGGTAATCATTGGTCATATATATGTCTTCCTTTCTCACCTGCCTAGACTATGCATAACCCAGAGCTAGCTCATAGCTCTCAGCACAATGCCTGGTCCAGAAGAGATATTAATACAATTTGATGAAATGAAACCCATCACCTCCACTACATCAGAAGTAAGCCCAGAAAGGATTTTAGGCAAGGCTTTGTGTAACAACCACCTTCCCTTCGTCACTAGGCTGTCTCGATCTTGACCTGACTGTGTGTCACTTTTGAAAACACAAACTGGTTAGGCAGCAGAGCATTGCAAAAGGATCAAAGCGTGTACTTCCCTTGCAGGTTGGACTGGTTTGTGGTACAATATGGGGTAGTGTAAAATGCAGCTGGGATAGCTCATATGAGACTCTAGTGTAGAAGAAAAGTGTATAGTGCTGTAAAAATAATTGACTTTCCAAATGCACACATATCTTCTAGCTTGGGGAGGCTCCTGACTCCTGCTTGCTTTAGACTGCCTTTGGGTTCCACATCCTTTCAAACCTTGCATATGACCTGTGTTATAAGGTGTTCTCTTGAAAAAGAGGACATTTTACCAATGCTCAGTGGCACATGCTTGTCATCCCAGCTTCTCAAGAAGCTGAGGCCGGAGGATCACAAATCCAAGGCCAACCCGACCAATTTAGACTCCTGTCTCAAAATAAAATGTAAAAATTTAAAAAGGACTGGGGCTATAGTTCCACAACAGAATGCTTGCCTAGCACACATGAAGCTGTGGGTCGAATCTGCCAGTACCACCACCAAAAAAGTAGACTTTTTCTTTGTAATGGTTGTTTTTGCATTGCTTAAAGTACATTGGCTTTCTTTTAAATTTTCTTTGTTTTTTGTTTTTGTGGTACTGGATATTGAACCCAGGCATCATACATGCTAGATGAGTGCACTAGCACTGAGCTTTATCCCCAGGCCTTTTTTATTAAAGAAATTTTTTTTTTCCGACAGGATCTTGCCAAATTGCCTGGGCTGGCCTTGAACTCATAATGCTCCTGCTTCATTCTGCCTTGTAACTGAGATTACAGGCAGAAGCCACTGCACCCAGCTTACTTTCTCTCCAGATATATTACATGCTATACTATAGCAGGGTTTCCTCATCCCTAAAACAGGTACAAGGATCCTTGGCCTACACAGCTTATCAGGTTCTCAGGAAGTTCTAATGCAGTAATTCATATATAATAATGTAAACTATAGGATGCTTTTCAAACATGAGGTCTATCGTATTAGTATATTTTAAAAAATTCTTAATGCTCTCATACTTCGGTATGTGTGTTTTAGATTTCACCTTAGAAATCAAAAGGCTTATTGGAAATTCCTGCTGATAATGTTTTGGTTCATGGTTTCCCAAATTTGCCTAAAGATGAGTTCCTTCCTTCCTTTCTATCTTTCTTTCTTTCTTTCTTTCTTTTGAGAGAGGGTCTCATTGTGTAGTTTAGGTTGGCCTTGAACTCCATATGTATCCCAGGGCTGGCGGCAAACTCACAATGATCTTCCTGCCTCAGCCTCTTGAGTGCTGGGACTACAGGTGTGTGCCACCACATCCGGCTCTTTTTTTTTTTTCTTTTTTCTTTTTTGGTTATTTTGAGACAGGGTCTCACTATGTAGTTGAGACTGACCTGGAGCTCACTATGTAGCCCAGGCTGGTCTCGAACTCACAGTGATCCTCCTGCCTTAGCCTCCCGAGTGCTGGGATTACAGGCGTGTGCCAACATGCCTGGCTTTTTGTTTTTTGTTTTTTTTTTTCATTTGATTTTTTTCTCATTAAGCTTATTGGTACATTTTAGGTATACAATATGATGACATTCATCATTGGGAATTTGTAGCTTTACGTGATATATCTTGGTTCTTTTTTTTTTTTTTGCTTGTCTGTTTGCTTGAGACAAGGTCTCACTGTGTAATCTGATCCTGAGACCTTAGCGTCCTGAGTGTTGGCATTACAGGTGTGCACCACAACTCCCAACCCTGGAACGCTTGTTAAAAACAGATTCCCAGACCCCAATGCAGACCCTAAATTTCCAAAAGAAAGACAAGAAACCAGGTGTGGTGGTGCATGCCTATAATCCCAGCACTTGGGAGGCTAACGCAGGAAGACTCCTGCGAGTTCAAGGCCTGTCTGGGCTACATAGTGAGTACAAGGTACAGCAAGACCTTGCTCAAATAAATGAGTGAATGAATGAATGAATGAATGATAAGAGTAAAAGTGCAGCTGAGAATGACACCAGGTAAACCATCCTTAGGCAAGTCTGGAAAACACTTTAGCCGTGATTTACATATCAAAATGAATTCACTTAGGATTCTTTCTGAGAAAGGCCTTTCAAATATGGAGAAATCAAAACTATAGAGTAAAGCTCAGAAGGAGGCTCTGGAAGGGCAGATAAATTTTAGTAAAATTGTGTCTGCAGCTAGTAGAAGCAAAACTGTCTTAAATTTCCATGTC